TAACCGTAGTTCCAATAAATACAACTGTCACTTTTTGTACCTTTAACATTTCCCGTGGAAGAATTTTTAATACTTTATGTTAATATTTTACAATTATAGCAATAAAAAAAATTAAAGGATACATATTTTCTTAACATATTCATATTTTGAAGTTATTTTAATATTTTAAAGTATCAATAATTGTTAAGTTTAATTTAAATAATAACGGGTAAAGTTTATTTGTATCATAAATATCATTCGGTTTTAAGAATTTTGTCCGTCTATAAACCTATGTTTTATTATGTTATAAAACAAATATTTTAAAATATATACTTACAATGATTATAGGCAACTCAAAATACCTATAGGTAATAGCACTGAACAAAACAGAAGTTATGCATAGTTTCAAATAAACCAATTGGCAATTTAACAAATCATTAGGTGATATCAATATTTAAAATATACAGGGTGTTATGTAATTAATGTTATATATTAAAATAATGAATACCTTTTGACATAAGGAATAAAGGAAAAATATTTAAAAAAACATTTTTCCAAAGATAAAGAAAAAATATGCATTAGAAGTTTTTTATATTTTTTGTGATACGCCACTGGTTACACACTTGTTTATCTCTGCACACCTGTATTTGAGTACATAGATACCAACCAACAAAGTAGCTATGCGTTGCCAGATGTAAAAAATTGTTACTAAACATTTTTCTTGCAAAAAATAAATAAAAACTCAATAAATACAAAAGTTTTATGCCCTTAAAGCTCTAATACCCTTCTGTATTTATTTACTGATCCAGCTATTAGCTTAAGCAATGATTAGAAAATTTAGTACCTTTGAAATTTGAAATCCATAACCACAAAATTAATTTTTTCATCAGTTTTTTTCTCTGTTTACTCAGATGAAATTGGGAGCAGTTCACAGGTTAAACTTTAAACATTTAATTTGTGTAAATAAATCCAAAAGCACTTCCCTTAGTTAAAATATTTACAATTTGAAAACATAACCTAAAATTTAAAAGAAATGCACTAGATTCTGTCATAAAAGTTGGCAGATTTTGTTTGAATTTACCTTCAGTACAAAAATGAAATAACCAACAATTAATAAAAACGCCAAATTGACAATTTGCATTGTTAATTTTGTCATTTTTGTAATTAAGCTAAATTTAAACAATGTTTGTCAACTTTTTTGAGAGATTTTTAAAACACTGTTGTTACCAACCATAACATAATAAATCCACCAGATTAACCTAAAGTTCCTAGTCGATCAGTGGCGTACTTTTTGGTAGGATAAAGGTTATTATAAATTATTTTTAGACTTTGGAATTTAGAAAAAAAAAGTTTCAGGTGCTTCTTTATGGACCCTAAGGAACAACCCATTTTAATATATAACATTAATTACATAACACCCTGTATAAAAAAGGTATAACATTAGGATGCTTACAAAATATATGGGGAATTATTTTTAATTATTTATAGAGGGCACTGATTACTATGTAGAAATAATTCGTATCCTTTAACTTTTGTTTTTACTAAAATTATAAAGTAGAAATTATTTTTGCACAAAAAAGGTATTTGCTTTCTTTATTAATACTTTTATTATGATTATTATTATGGGTGTTTAATGGATACTGGTAATTAAGTAAATACAGGGTGCTTCAAGTATCCTTCTATGGATGTTTTTTTTATTTGATGAGCTACTATCGCTAACAAAAAAAACTCATACAGTTTAAAAATCTATTGTTCCTGATTTTCTATCATTTCGTTGGAGTAATTATGGCTTTTAACATGATACGTCACATTTGAAAGGTCTAAAATTAAATACAAAGTTAGGTTGAAGTTTGAAAAAAAAAATAATATTTCGTCATCCCTCTGTTTTTGTCAATTACTGCCCGCAAACGGCAAAGCATGGAAGTCGCCGTCTTGCTTTATCTCGTTCCAAATGGCTTCAATGGCTTGCCAGAGTTCGTCTGCATTGTTTGGTTAAAAATGTTAAAAAAGTCATAAATTATGACTCATAATGGATGTGACAAAGCTTGATGTCAGCTTGACATTGACGGAAAAGTTTTATTCACACAGCCACAATATAGCTGTATGAGTTTTTTTTGTTAGCGATAGTACAAGATCGCTAAAATTAGAGCATATTTGCGTAATTAAAGGCATTTGAAAATTGGGAAAAAATCAGCGGTTTTCAAATTATTAAAGAAAAAACATTAATTGAGGCAACTCAAAATACCTATAGGTAATAGCACTGAACAAAACAGAAGTTATGCATAGTTTCAAATAAACCAATTGGCAATTTAACAAATCATTAGGTGATATCAATATTTAAAATATACAGGGTGTTATGTAATTAATGTTATATATTAAAATAATGAATACCTTTTGACATAAGGAATAAAGGAAAAATATTTAAAAAAACATTTTTCCAAAGATAAAGAAAAAATATGCATTAGAAGTTTTTTATATTTTTTGTGATACGCCACTGGTTACACACTTGTTTATCTCTGCACACCTGTATTTGAGTACATAGATACCAACCAACAAAGTAGCTATGCGTTGCCAGATGTAAAAAATTGTTACTAAACATTTTTCTTGCAAAAAATAAATAAAAACTCAATAAATACAAAAGTTTTATGCCCTTAAAGCTCTAATACCCTTCTGTATTTATTTACTGATCCAGCTATTAGCTTAAGCAATGATTAGAAAATTTAGTACCTTTGAAATTTGAAATCCATAACCACAAAATTAATTTTTTCATCAGTTTTTTTCTCTGTTTACTCAGATGAAATTGGGAGCAGTTCACAGGTTAAACTTTAAACATTTAATTTGTGTAAATAAATCCAAAAGCACTTCCCTTAGTTAAAATATTTACAATTTGAAAACATAACCTAAAATTTAAAAGAAATGCACTAGATTCTGTCATAAAAGTTGGCAGATTTTGTTTGAATTTACCTTCAGTACAAAAATGAAATAACCAACAATTAATAAAAACGCCAAATTGACAATTTGCATTGTTAATTTTGTCATTTTTGTAATTAAGCTAAATTTAAACAATGTTTGTCAACTTTTTTGAGAGATTTTTAAAACACTGTTGTTACCAACCATAACATAATAAATCCACCAGATTAACCTAAAGTTCCTAGTCGATCAGTGGCGTACTTTTTGGTAGGATAAAGGTTATTATAAATTATTTTTAGACTTTGGAATTTAGAAAAAAAAAGTTTCAGGTGCTTCTTTATGGACCCTAAGGAACAACCCATTTTAATATATAACATTAATTACATAACACCCTGTATAAAAAAGGTATAACATTAGGATGCTTACAAAATATATGGGGAATTATTTTTAATTATTTATAGAGGGCACTGATTACTATGTAGAAATAATTCGTATCCTTTAACTTTTGTTTTTACTAAAATTATAAAGTAGAAATTATTTTTGCACAAAAAAGGTATTTGCTTTCTTTATTAATACTTTTATTATGATTATTATTATGGGTGTTTAATGGATACTGGTAATTAAGTAAATACAGGGTGCTTCAAGTATCCTTCTATGGATGTTTTTTTTATTTGATGAGCTACTATCGCTAACAAAAAAAACTCATACAGTTTAAAAATCTATTGTTCCTGATTTTCTATCATTTCGTTGGAGTAATTATGGCTTTTAACATGATACGTCACATTTGAAAGGTCTAAAATTAAATACAAAGTTAGGTTGAAGTTTGAAAAAAAAAATAATATTTCGTCATCCCTCTGTTTTTGTCAATTACTGCCCGCAAACGGCAAAGCATGGAAGTCGCCGTCTTGCTTTATCTCGTTCCAAATGGCTTCAATGGCTTGCCAGAGTTCGTCTGCATTGTTTGGTTAAAAATGTTAAAAAAGTCATAAATTATGACTCATAATGGATGTGACAAAGCTTGATGTCAGCTTGACATTGACGGAAAAGTTTTATTCACACAGCCACAATATAGCTGTATGAGTTTTTTTTGTTAGCGATAGTACAAGATCGCTAAAATTAGAGCATATTTGCGTAATTAAAGGCATTTGAAAATTGGGAAAAAATCAGCGGTTTTCAAATTATTAAAGAAAAAACATTAATCGTTTTAACACGTTTTTCTACATTCTCATCCAATTTGAGTTACCACCAATATATTTTGTTTGTGAAATATTGAAATCAAATGGTTAGATAGAAAATAATCAAGGAATTCAACGGTGTATCAATTGGTCAAAAAGTTAAATTTCAATTTTGTAGTACTGTTAATAACCTTAAATTTTTTTCTTAAACTATAGTTTATATCTGAAAAACGCTTAATTTTAACAAAAAATATAAAAATTGGACATCGTGGGTGTAATACTTTTTTTACTATTAATAGGACAATTTTAATTAAATGTACATATGTTAAATAGTATATAAAACACGGCGGTACTATTTGTAAGTATGTTTTTACTAAGTGAAATATTATCGATAAAAACTTGTCTCAATGAAATTTTTTGTAGATAATGCTTCTTAAAAATAAAAATGACTACATAAATTAAAATTGGCTTTATATTCTTATTTCTGTTCGTTGAAGATAAATTATAGTATGCAACTCGTTTTATAAACTTCTCTAGACACTCGTTTTCATTTAACACTCGCTCGCAAGCTTTGCTCGTGCATAATAAAACTACAATAGCGTTTACAAGACTTGATACATAATATACTATTAAATTAAATGGACATCTTAAAATTGGTAGAGTTGGAATTTTTACTGAATTTTTAATTCGACATAATCTAAACATTTTCATTAATTAATAGCAATAATAACAAAATATAAGGTAATTTTTTGTAAATTTTAAATATTTTATTAAGTTTAGACAATGTTTAGTAACTTTAACCAAAAACATTATTATAAGGGTCCATTTAATATTATTTTATATACAATATAAGTTATGTAAGTTTTTATTTAAATGAACAAAATTATAAAGAAAAACAAATTAGGGTAGTATTAAAATAATAAATTTATTAAACCTATTTAATTTACAACTCCATGTCATACAATAGTGGTAGACTTAATGACGTAATATATGGTCACTGACCATTGGTCAGTCCCTTAGTGGTTTACTGCGATTTATTGTTAAGCCCTAAATTACTATTTTTTGTACAATTAAAAACATCCTATGACTATTTTTATTTTCTCTCTTCGTCGTTAAATATGTCTTCGAGAAGCTGTTTGGTGATTGTTCGGTGTGGTTTGGCAGGATCCAGTTTTGGCCTCCCGTAAAGTCTACTGTTTATAACGTATAACCTGAAAATACAATTGCAATAAAATTACAAGAACAAAATACTCCCTAAAGTATAATAAAAGTCATTAATATAAATTTAATCGGACCACTATTACCTATTTAAATCCTAATTAATATTTTAATGAATATATTGGGTTCAAGTCAAATTTATTTTAACACTTCGTCGGACGCACATGTGACGTTTTCATTATTATATATTGTTGAATGTACCCTAAAGCTGTCTTACGAACTTACACGCTTACATGCTTTCTTGAAAATTATTAACCCCAAGTAAATTAATAATGCAATGAACCGTTTGTCACTTAAAAAAATAAATTTAAAATTAAAGGTGAACCAAAAAAATTCTTCATTATTTTGATCAAAAATATCTTGTGTCTAGTGCCCTTTCATTTTTGATATTTCGATCTTATTTTAAAAAAGTAAACCGGTGGTCGAATCTTGTTTTGTTTTATATAGGCGCACATTACCTTGAGTTTTTAAAATTGTTAATAAACAAGTGAAGTAATTGCTATACGTTAAAAAAGCATCGGGTTTTCGCAACGCGCGCGCCTTCTGCTGGTGTTCGATAGCATTGTTGACAATTCAAGAAATGTCAACAATACATTTAAATAAATAAGTAGTTTTTTTTTGGGGGTCCGAGGATGGCGCAGTGGGTTAGGCTACAAAGCTGTGCAATCTGCGTCTAACGGTACCGGGTTCGATTCCCGGTCACAGCCCTGGGTGTTGTGATTGTATATTAAGACAAAAATACATATAATGTGCTGGCTTAATAGACTGAAAAAGCCTAAAAGTCAATAAAACTTAAAAAAAAAAGTTTTTTCAATTGCACAGCTAAATCGCTCAAGTTCTTTGTGTTTCGCGTTGGAAGTAAAAACTAAAAATCTTTGGTTTAGTCCTCGATTTCGATTTATTATTCCTTATACATGTATCATTGAATAAGAAACTCAAAGCTTATATGCTTTTATAGTTGGTGTGTGGATTTTATCTAAGTGATCATGGTGAATTCCAGAACTAAATCGTTGCATTTTCATGTTTTGCCAAAGTATGTGTTGGTGCAGAATTATCTAATGAAAACTTTAAATTTAATATAAATTATATTTAAGTTTGGACATTTTTAAGAAATCTGACAAAAAAATAATTTTTGTACAAACATAACCTTAAAATCTAACATTTTTATATTTGGTGGTTCCCCGAGTCGAGGGGTTGCTAGGCCGGACTCGGCGCTTTGCCCTTAAAGCGGGACATATCTTTTTTAATAGCGAAACATAACTTTCTAAAGCCGCACAAAAGTTTCTAAAGATGGACATAACTTTTATAATAAAAAAAATTTGGTAACGTATTTTAATTACCTATTTATTAAGCACCAATAAATCACAGTAATATTTTTTTTGATATTTTATTTAATTTTATTTTGGTCAACTGGTCAATTGACCAAAAACAATTTGACCGGTCAATTCCACAACCCTATACCTTTCAGTGGAGATTTTCTCAATCAACGCTTTTAATAATGCATAATGCTGTTTGAATTTAGACGACTTATTTGTTCTATGAATGTTACTGAATTGAAATGTTTACAATTATCACGTAAATCATTACTAAAAATTGTGTATTTATTGCATCTAATAGGTACAATTTATATTTACATGGACTGTATGCAATTTATTTCTTCTTTCGGATTTACACTGTTTATTGGGAAACCGGTAAAAACTCAACCCAGGATTTTCTCTAGAAAAACACCCAACAACAAAACAAATCGTGCTACGGTTTTCATTTTCCTTTGACAGTTGCTTATTGAAAGCTGAATTCCGGTTACGATGATAACGGCCACGTGGTGGCGCTACTTTACCGTATAGGCAATAAACATGCTACATTTTTTAGATCTTTTATTAATTAAATAACGCAACAAATACCTAGGGTGAGAAAAATATTTTTGTTATATTTTGACAGTGCATTTTCTTCAACTCGCCATGTAGTACGTAGCGACCAAAGTTCAAATTATATTTAAACTTGAATTTAGAAAATGTTAAACTTGAATTAAAAAAAGTGGAAATTTTCAAAATTTTCAAGATTTTTAAAATTTTCAAAAAATTGCACAATGTGCCCAAATCCAACATTCGTCACATTTGTGACGTCTGCGCTCAAAGAAAATTGGTATGAATCAATCAACCTGTAGCCATTTGCATTTTTTTATGTATGGAAGCGTTTCGGTTATGGTAAATAACCTATTTTCTTACTTTTCACTAAGGTCGCATCTGACATTGAACCACCAGTCGCAGACGAACACTGCCTGACTGAATTGCGTTCCGTTTGGACAAAGGAAAGTCGTTTGGCGGCCGTCAATGTCGCAGTAATGCCAACTTTGACACCGGGTTTCCGTGTCGGCGTAAAATCCGGGATAGGGCTGCTCGTCGCAGTAGAAATTCGTGTAAGGTACCGTGCCCAAAACGGGGTAGTCCGACCCTGGTCTACCTAAAACGAAAAAAAAAACAATCAAAAAGAATAATATTTAAATTATTTTATCTACTCCCCCATTGATAGGCTGTGGCGTTTTAGTCACTGGCTGAAGTTATCAACAGTGGCTTTAATGCATTTTAGTCACGGACTGATTTCAAATGTTTAAGAAATAAAATTAGCTTTAACTTTTTATTTGTGTTCGTCGTAAATAAAGTATAGTATGCAACTCGTTTTATAAACACTCGTTTTTATTAAACACTCGCTCGCAAGCTTTGCTCACGCCTAATAAAACTCGTAAGTAAAATGGCGTTTATAAAACTTGATACATAATATACTATTATCCACTCCTACACTAACAAGCTGTGACTTTAGGTTGTTTTAGTCACGGGCTGAAAAAGTGAGGTTAAATTCGTTAACTGTCAAATATTTATGAAATAAAAATTGGCTTTAAATTCTTATTTCTTTTAGTTGTAGATAAAGTATAGTGTTTTATAAACTTCTCTAGACACTCGCTAGCAAGCTTCGCTCGTTCCTAATAAAGCTCGTAACTTAAATTGCGTTTATAAAACTTGATACCTAATTTGCTATTATTGTTATAAACCTTAAAAATTGTCATTTTACTAAAATATCGTCTATGGACAATGTATATATATTATATTTAAAAATCAGCAAAATAAAAAAGTAGAAAGATATAATAAAAAATCAAAAATGTTTATGCTTAAAGGCAGTGGCGGCTGGTGGATTTTGGGCACACCCATATCTCAGTTATTAGACATTGGACCCATATCCCATACATGAGTTTATAATGACATTATATATAAGTTCTGCGAAAGTAGAATTTAAATTGAAGTTTGCGAAAAAAAAGTTAGTTTTTAAGTGTGCCCCCAGCCTCCTGCCCCCCAAATTAAGATAATTCAAATTAAAGTGGTAAAATATTTAATTCACTGAAGTTTATCGATAAATTTTAAATTTTATTAAAAAAAATTCAATAATTACAGGTTTATACCATTTTAAATTTTTAATATTTCTTTTACTAAATTTAAAAAAAAAATAGAAATGGTATAAAATCTGTAATACTTTAAATTTTTTTAATAAAACTTGAAATTTGTCGATAAACTTCAGTGAATTAAATATTGTACCACTAATTTGAATTATCTTAAGTTTTAAATAATTTACACAAGTTTTTTTTATTGATTTTAATACATGGTCCAAAAAATTATTTTTGTATTGTTCAAACTAGTCGCTAAAAAAACAATGGAGCGATTACTAAATGGTCATTAAAACTAAAGCGGTTTAATTTTTAATTTAACATTAACATATACAGGTAAAATAAAATTTTGCAAGATCCAGTATATAACCTAAACTTGTAGTTTTTATAGATTTTATATTCAACTAACAGAAAAATCTCAAAATCTATAACAACACGACTTGTGCCCTTTCTGCAGTCACAGATTCAAACACACTGGCACAATTTTCTCGTTTGTGCCCAGAAGAAGGAAAGATTCTCTTTTTACATCAAGGCTTTGCATATATACAACAACTGAGGTCATTTTCCAGAAGTCATATTCAAAAAATTGAACTGCATTATACGCTATAAAAAACGATTTGTTGTTTTCCCTGTTATGAATTTATTATTGCCGTTGCCAGGCGGTTATAATGCTGACCAGTATATACGGAAAAACATAAAATGGTAGAGTTTTGCTCCATCCTGTGTTTTATAAATTCTAAAATTAGTAGTATACTTGTTTTTTATTAAACAAAAAATACTGTTTTGCAATTTAAACCTAAATAATGTTACGAAACACAAATTTACAAATGTATTTAATTTTTGCAGTGTATTTTAAAACTTTTTAAACTTATTTATAATGCAAAAATTCTAGTTTGCCAAATAATTAAATGCAGGATTTCCAAAGAACATTTAAGAACCAATTAGTTGTAATTAAAACAGAGTTAGCAAGGCAAAACTAAAATGAATAGTAAAAAAAATAGGTGACAAAATATTAGGGGAAAGTAAAAGTCGTACGTATGGTTAATTCCTTATGGAAAGGTCTTAAATGGTGGATCAAAGTTAGGTAATAAAGTTATACTTATTAAGTAAGATACTAATTACTGTCTCACATGAATTTCAAGATATAAAAGATGTTTCTTTTTTTTACAAAAAGTTCAGTGGTTACTAAACAAAAATTTTGGATTTCTTTTGTTTTAAATGTAAGAATAAAATGTAAAAAAATAATAATGGTGTATGTTTAACTAAAAAGTACTTAATCGTTTAATTTTAATATTTAATAATTAGACAACAAATTTCCATTATTCACTGAACCGTGAACTTTTTATACTTACTTTGATCAATGCTTAAGGCAATTCATTGTAATTATTATTTTAAATTAAGTTCTGTAATATTTACAATTATGTATTTTAATTATTCAGTATTCTATAAGTATATTTATAAACAATCATTAACTTATTATTATTATTATTATTGGTGCTTATTAATAAAGTATTAGTTTGTTTGCACTGCCCTTGCCCCGTTTCGTAATTATAAAATCATTGACCACCATAGGTGTGTCGCAAAGAACTAATTTACAAGTCACTGACTTTTTAAATGCAAACATAAAAAGTAAAACTTAAATTACCAAATTTTTAAAATGCATCATAACTCGTAAAACATATTGAAAACTAAATTTAATTTTAATTTAAAACCGTTTTCAAAAATAACTAGCAGGAGATTTTAGCAAATTTTTTTGCTGAGTTATTGCCTTTTGTTTGATCGTTTCTAAAATGTATCCTAAACATAAATATTTTATTTACACTTAATAAATTAATTTACTTTAATGTCCGATCATCTTACTATTTTTTACAACGACGGTGGTCTAGTGGTTAGTGCTACTGACTACAAGCCGGAGGTCGTGGGTTCGAATCCCACCAGGGGTATGGCTGTTTATTTGTGTTTGTCCTATTGTGTATTAGTCCTTCGGAGGGGACTTTAAGCCCGCGGTCCGTTCCTACCCCCAACCCGCACAAGCCATTCAGTTGGCTTATGGGGCTTCTTAAGAAGTAAGGGTGGAACTAAAAGAGCACTTTTGTATATAAACTTTTTTGTACAAAACAACTCATATGCTCAAACAAATTGTACAAGGCTTTCAAAAACTAGCCCCCTTGATAACTTTTGAGTTATAGTAAATATAATTCGAGGGGGAATTGTTAAACAAATTGTGCGTTCCACCCTTACCTTCAGCTACCCTTACACCTTTCGGCACATTATTTTAAAGAAAATTTAATTTCTGATCCATTAAAGTTTAGAAATTAAAATCCGATCACGGATTTGGAAGTTAGAGCCAAAAAGCTACTCTTGTCTAACTTTTTGAAACGTTTCAAGACATATCTGCCTACATTATTTTTCGTTTGAGTTCTTCAGGTGGTGTTTTGTAGACTGGTATTTTAAAATTACGCCAAATAAAAAATCAAGTGGCGTTAAATCTGGAGATATTGCCGGCCATTCTTGAGCACCTCTTATACCAATCCATTTCTCGGGAAACATTTGGTTTAACCATTCTCGTACTGGTAAAGCAAGTGAGGAGGGATCTTGTTGAAAGGGCAAATGTTCTTTATCAAGCAACATGTTGTCTTGTTCGTCCATCTGATTTTCTAATGAATGGGTAATAAGTTGGTCTATAACATTTTTAAGAAGATCAAGATATAATTGTCCAGTCAGTCAGTTTTCTCCGATAAAAAGCGGTCCAATTATTTCGTTGCCAAGAATACCAGCCCATACATTGATTTTTTTTAGGATAATGAGTATGATCTTCCCGAAAAACGTGTGGATTTTTATTGTACCAGTACAATTGTGTTTAATTACAAATCCATTTAGACAAAAAGTAGATTCATCGCTAAAACAAATATTTCTTAATAAATTGGGAGCAACCGCAATTCTTTGCGTCATTTCCTCACAAAACTGGATTCTTCTGTCGTAGTCATCTTCGCTGATTTGCTGACACATTTGAATTTTATAAGGGAAAAACATTAATTTTTATGTGGGTATTTCCACGAAACCTTACCCCACCTTTACAAAAATAAAATAACAACTTTATCTGAAGTCAAATAGTTTAATTGCGAAGTAATTTATAACCTTAAAATATTCGTACATTGTGATGCTAAGAACTCTCTAAAAATGAAACAGTGAATTTTCACTGATTGACAGTGCATATTAACTATTTGCCGCAGTGATAAGTATACCACTAGCAATTAGTGAATACTCACTTTTTCATGTAGCGATTTCTTTGTACTAATTTATTTAGTTGAAATTACACTGTACAAATTAGTGAAATAGGTTTAGTTCAAAAAAGTTAAAATTTCACTATTTTATGTCGAGAGTTCCGGAAAAGTAGTGATAATAAAAACACTAATTTGGAGAAGTTAAAATTTCACTAATTTATATTAAAAAACATTAATTTTACAGTGAATAATAACTCACTGGCGGAAATAGTGAAAATTTCACTGTTTCACTTTTAGAGATAAGTTAACATTAAGAATAAACACGGAAGAGTTATAATACTATAAAATGTTCAAATGTCGCACCCGTTACGTTTTAAGAAAATTTTAGAAAATAAATTATAAAATATTTGTGCATTTAAAATACGTGCTTGTTAAGGTTACTATTCAAGTTTTACACAAAAAATTATAACTATGAATTTATCCAAAATTTTACAGTATCAACTTTAGAATCCATCTTGGTTGCATTTGTCGATTTTCTAAGGTCGCGCTTGTTACGCTATTCATGACGTTATAAAAGGTTTTCTATACAAGTTTTTATTTATTATTTTGTTTGAGTTAAATACCTAATTTTTTATACTATATTAACGTATCTTGATATACGAGGTGTGTTCAGAAAATAATGGGAATTTTTAAATTTCGCGGGTTGGAGAGTCCGGTTGTCATAAAATTGTCTTTATTATGTTGGTATACATACCCCTGAAGAATGATAAAAATTTTAAATGTTTTCATTGTTTACTTTGTCTGTGGCAGCCGCTAAGGTTAGACGTGTTTTTATGAGCTCGGCGATTTTCGTTCGTTAAAAGAAATGGGATCAAAGAATTTGTATCAAATTTTGCGTAAAAAATGAAATAAAGTGTGTGAAATCTTAAGAAAGGCCTATGGTGAGTCTGCTATGAGTAAAGTGACATATGAGTTTCCAAGATGGCCGTAAAGACGTTGAAGATGAAGAACGCCCAAATACATTAACAACCGATAAAAACATGGAAAAAGTGGAATAAATGGTTATGAACGATCACCGAATCACAATCAGAGAAGTCGCTGATGATGTTGGCATATAGATGAAATTTTTTTGAATGTTTTGCGTATGAAACGCGTGGCAGCAAAATTTGTTCCAAAATTGTTGAATTTTAAACACAATTTTTTGCCAAAAACAATACTGTAATGATGCCCCAGCCTACATATTCGCCAGACATGGCTCCGTCTGACTTTTTCCTATTCTCCAAAATAAAGAGAACCTTAAAGGGCCGTCGTTTTGCAAGCATAGATGACATTAAAAGCGCATCGCTGAAAGAACTAAAGACTATCCCAAAGATCGTGTTTGAGAAGAGTTTAGAGGATTAGAAGAAGCGCTGGCGCAAGTGCATAATATGTAATGGGGACTATTTTAAAGGCGACAACTTTAATGTAGACGAATAAATAAATATTTGTTTCAAAAAACGAACATTCCCGTTACTTTCTGAACACACCTCGTATATGAACAAACACTTTATTATCATGAAAAAAAATGATATGTCGCAAGGTATAAACTGTCATTTAAAATATAAAAGTAAGAGTAGTTGGAGTTGAGAGGGTGCAAGATAAAATTTGCACCCCTTCGACCTGTTTTTGCTCAAGATTATTTTAAGCTCAAAAGTTATTAACGGTGGCTAGTTTTTAATTGAAAACCCTCTATATCTGGTAATTTGTACCGTCAATTGCGAAAGTGTGTTTGTTTGCCTTTTGCATAGAAGAGTAACATGCTAGTTTTTGACTTTTTTAATTCGTTTTTATTATTTTTTTTTGTCCTTTTTTATATCTAATTTTAATACCAATTTAGGCACAATAAATTTTCTATTTTTTTGGTTAATTGTTTAATATTTATCAATCGTGCCATATAGATGTCGAAGGGCCACAATGTAAAATACATTGTGACACTTAAACATCCCTGTAATGACTTTATACTTTACCTACCTGGAATAGATTTTCCCAATTCCAAATATTCGACAACTGATGGGCTTAAAAATCCAGGAGGCACATAGTTACTACTTAAGGGGTTGTTTCTTTCATCGAAATCAGTTTCCACATCGTTTTCCGGTTCGGGGGGCGGTGCTCTTGCCTTTTTTGTTCGCGATTTTTGTTCGAATCCGTCTAAAAAAGGTAAAAAAAAATAATCAAAGATCATAATAAATAAAACTTAGATTAAACCAAAAAGCATTATTTATGAATAATGATAATATATTTTGAAAAATGTAAAATGTCCTCAATACCTAGGCCAACCTGCTGCAACCACATATCGTCCGGATGCATGTAATAAAACATTTTGACCCTGGATTTGGCCAAAATCGGTTATCGGTATGCTATAATTATAAACCTCGTAGAAAAAATTATGACCCCTAATTTTACAGTTACCAACAGTAATTTTGAGCTAAATGGGAAAGATATAACAATTCTTTCTATATAATATCAATGTGTTTTTATAAGAGTCATTCCAAATAAAAACACCAAATGGGGTGCGCTGCTTGATTTTTTATTTTGATAAAAAAAAATTGAGGATGATCTTTTAGGTATCAAATATAAAAATCCGTTGCCGTTTTAATTTTTGGATTCATTACTTTTAATCGGCACCCTTTAGAAATCTGAAATCGTGTCAATTTCTTACTCTCTTATAGTGGGCCAGAACTTTTTTTCTGTGACAAATATTGAAATGATTTTAATATTGTTTTACTGTTCAGTAAGTGTGTTTTAGATATAAATTATTGTTATCCAATAAGTTAATCTCATAAAAGAATGGTAAACCACTAAAGATTCATGATAATTTGCCAATTTTTGTGATTTTTGTCTGCCTCCTGTGCCTAGGTATTCTACTATTTTTTTTTAGGTATTAAGTACTTATACAATAGAAAACCTAACTATTATTTTAAGTTTAAGACTATCATTTTCTTTATTAAAATAATTATTGAAACTTGATAATTCTTAAAATTAGTTAATTTTGCTTTCAGAAATCATTATAAACTTTCAGGAAATGTAGTCCCCACCTTTATCTTTTCAGTCCAGTTAGTCTTGTTTTGTTATTTTTATTCCTTTAAAAGATATATTAATTTTTTTAATGCCCGTTTAGTAGCGATATTGTTAGTTTTATTTAAAATTTAAAATTTAGATGGCTTTCATGTTTGGTGGAGAAGTGTCAGAACTGTCAAAAATATTTCATAAATATTATTTGTGCGTATTTCTTTGGTAAATTTTGTATATAACATAATATGTCATATTATGTTATATACAAAATTTACCAAAGAAATACGCACAAATAATATTTATGAAATATTTTTGACAGTTCTGACACTTCTCTACCAAACATGAATTGACTAATAAGTCAAAGCCATCTAAATTTTAAATTATTAATAAAACTAACAATATCGCTTTTTAACTGCATTAAAAAAATTATTATATCTTTTACATGGATAAAAATAACAAAACAAGACTAACTAGACTGAAAAGATGAAGGTGGGGACTACATTTCCTGAAAGTTTCCGATTTTTATTTTTTCCTCAACATAATGATTTCTGAGGTCAAAATTGGGAAATTTTGAAAATTATCAAGTTTCAATAATTTTTTTAATAAAGAAAATGATAGTCTATAAACTTAAAATAATAGTTACGTTTTCTATTGTATAATTACTTGATACCTGAAAAAAAGCAACTTTCTAGATTTAGCAGAATAGGCACAGGAGCCAGACAAAAATCACAAAAATTGTCAAATTATTACAAATCTTTAGTGGTTTACCATTCTTTTATGAGATGAACTAATTAGATAATAATAATTAATATTTAAAACTTACTTACTAGGCAGTAAAATAAAATTACAATCATTTCAATAATTGCCACAGAAAAAAGTTTTAGCCTCTTATAAGAGAGTAAGAAAATGACACGATTTTAGGTTTCTAAAGGGTGCCGATTAAAAATAAAGCAACTAAAAATTAAAACGGCAACGGTTTTTCATATATGATACTTAAAAGATCATCCTCAAATTTTTTCATTAAAATAAAAAATCATGCAGCGCACTTTTAAATTCATTTTTGATGTTTTCATTTGGATTGACTCATAATATTAAATAATTATTTAATGCTTTGCTGGTAAATAAGTTAGCCGGAGTAAACGTTAGTGCGCTTCCTGGAGCGTTTGTTTATATATCCAACGCGTACACACCTTTGAATTGTATATAAAGTTTCTCCTATTAAATAAACCTGGCTGCCATTTTTGCCATGTTACTTTATAAGTTTATCTTATATTTATATTGCAATTATGGGAAAGTTTGCAGTCTCGCATCGAGCATGAGAGTTTCATAAACAATAAGAACATTTTTTATTGTATATTATAGAAATTAACTAATTGTACAAATTTAAAAATACATGCTGTGTTGCTTTTGAAGGTAAATATTTTGTTCGTCAATATTTTCTTGAGTTCAAGGTAAACGTCTATTTTTATAAGAAGTAATATAATCTTGTAAACGGAAATACAAATGTATGATTACTACTATAAAAATTAATTACCCATTATTAATTTTCTAATGTAGGAATTATTGAATAAATGATTAGATAAATTTTTTGACATTATTTTTTTAGCAGTTCCTGTTGACTCACAGTCTTTTCAATAATTTTAAGAAGCACCTGCGGTAAGCTGAAAAAAGCCACACGTAATAACAGTTTATGGAAACAAATCAAATAAGGGAGTTAAGGGTGATTTATTTTATGATATAACTATATATAGTTGGTGTCAAAATTTAAAACTAAATTTACAAATTATAACTTCCTTGGATTTTTTTTATCTTTTTATATAAGTGTAAATTTTAAATTAAAATCCTTAAAACTCAAAAACAATTTGTCGTAGGGTGTATGTGCGTCATTTTTGGGACACCCTGTACAGGTTTAAAATTGGGTTTATCTTAAAGTATAGCTTTGACAGAGTACACATTTGTACACCGATTTTTATAATTTTGGAGTATATTGTTAAGGAGATTTGGAGAATACTTTTTTATACTGTGCACATCATTTAATATATACAGGGTTAGCCAAAAATCGCTTCTTTTAATAAAGCAAAAGCGTAACTTCATGATTTTTTGCATAACACGCAAAAAAGAAATATGCCCACCCATGGATGTTTTTTTTAGATATTTTTATGTTTATCAGGCTACAAAATGGAATTCTTATTAAGACTTTATAAGAAAAATTGATTTTGAATAAAATTAAATAAAATAACATTTTTTGAAGATAAATCTTTTCTGTGCATTATGCTTTTTACTATATAAAAAAGTGATTTTTGGCTAACCCTGTATAAATCTAATGATGTGCTCAGTATGAAAACAGTATTCTCCAAGTCTCGTTAACAAAAATTGAAAAAAAAATAATTTTCAAAAAATTTCGAAGAAGAGCAGCTAGGATTTTGGTAAATATCATTTTAAAGTTACCAAAGGGTCCGGAACAAGAAACTGCAATCCATAAAAATCGGTGTACAACTGTGTACTCTGGCAAAGGTAGACTTTGCGATAAACAAATAATTAAAAAAAAATGATTTTTTAACAAATTTAAAAAAAACAGTTAGAATTTTGGTAAATATCGTTTTTAAATCTCCAAAGAGTGCCGATCAAAAAACTTTCACCAGAAAAAAATGGGGATAAATAATTTTTGCGTGTTATGCCAAAATAATGAATTTAAGCTTTTGCTTTATTAAAAATAAGCGATTTTTTGCTCACCCTGAATATATCAAATGATGTGAACAGTATTAAAAAGTATTCTTTATGTCTCCTCAATAATATACTCTAATTTTATAAAAATCAGTGTACAAATGTGTACTCTGTCAAAGGTAGACTTTGAAATAAACAAAAATTTAAAAAAAATTATGAATTTTCAAAAAATTTCGAAAAGAGGAGCAGCTAGGGTTTTGGTAAATATCATTTTTAAGTCACCAACAAGAAACTGCAATCAGTTTTTGGCGGAATTTTTATGTGACTTAAACTTCGTTCAGGCACACCGTGTATAGTACATTCCAAATTGTACATGATATGCATATTATGCAGTTTTACATTTCTAAAAAAAATTGTATTCTTGAAAAAAAAAATGTTTGATCTTAAACCACATATTATTTTTATTGTCTATGATTAATTTGAAGTTTTAAATTTTCTGAAAATTTTGGACATACATTTTTTGTATAAAAATCATATTTATCACGGTAGTTATAAATCTGTCTACAATTCTCCACGTATGTCATTAAAAATGTGTTTATGTCAATAGAAACAACTAACAAACTGAACAAAAATGATTTTTATTAAAAAAATTTCAGTCAAAATCTTAATTTGCAAATTAACCATACACAACAAAAATGGTTTTTAGCCTATTCTGGGGCTTTGAAATCAAGGAAAAACTTTTATAAAAAATAAGTTTTCTGAAAAATATGTTTTCCTTTATGTAACCCACTAATGTATGTAAATATAAAAGCGTGACCAATATTTTTGTTTACTTTATTCCCTATAAGTCTATATAAAACAAGGTGAAAGTTTAATTTGCGAACAAAAAAATTCAATGTCTTGAGTAAGGTTGTGTCAACGTTAAAACATTATTAGTTTAAGGTTAATTTAAAACATATATGTTATAACAAATGAGGCAATAATCAGCTTAATAAATATAAACAGTTCTGTAAATGAAACGACGCGACGTTTCAAACAAATTTTGCATAATGTATTATATTTATGAAGCGCAACAATACTGTTTGAAATATTATTTTTACTTAATTATTATCTATGTTTAAACAATTTTTTAGCGGATTTAATTAATACATGTTTATTAATACTCTGTTATAAAAATCAGATTTGTTAAATGAGTTTGTAGTTTGTTAATTTTATTTTGTAAAATTTTAACATAATTTTTTGTAGAAAACCAAGGTTTGTAATTATTTTAACAAAGGAAAATATTTTACCGAAAGTTTTGATGCTATTTTGTAAGCATTTTGTTAATTTTAAAGGTTACAGATTATTTTAAGTACACGTGATTTCAGGCAGTCAATCAAAACATTTCCCACTGACAATACGCATCAACATGTTCAACTGACTTCAGCGTCTGCAACTTATGTTTCTGCTTACTTTACTTTATTCGTAACGTT